GCCCTGGATGGTGGCTACCCTTGCCCTTTTGGTATAGAACTTCATTTTTAGATGGACAGTTGAGGGAACCGCTGTCAGCTCCGCCAATGTCGGCCTCCCCAAGATGCAATTGTATAGGGACGGGCAGTCAATGACGAGGAAGCGGACCTTCACCTGTCTTGTAGCAGTTCCTTCCCCGAACGTCACGAGGAGCTCGACATATCCCCAAGGTTTGGAAGTCGAGCCGTTGAAGCCTTGAAGGTCCGAACCTATATACGGAGACAGATGTGAGTCGTCCAGTTGTAAGGTCCGGAACAGCTGGGTGTACATCACGTCGACGGAACTCCCTTCGTCGACCAGGATGCGATGCACGTCAAAATTGGCCATCTTTGCCCTTATCAGCAAGGGGATGACTGCGTTCGGTGCTCCGCCGGGGAGCTCTTCCAAGTAGAAGGTGATGCGCTCTGATCTGCCCTTCACCATTTCGAAAGTCACAGTTTGTGGAGGAGCTGCGTCGACCAGTTCGTCCAACTTCCTCTTGGCTGAGTTGATGGTGAGGTCGTTGAACCCGCCCCTGTTGATGACCATGGCGGAGGGGAAGTATTCCCACCTGCTGTGTGTCGTCAGGGGCTCCTGCAGGAGCTCGGGAAGTTCGAAATCCTCGGGCCTGGTTACCGAGAAGGCGGTCTGGATTGGCACCGACTCGTCAGATGGTCGGGCATCTTCTTCGGGCTCCTTTGCCTCGCGGGCGTCACGACGGGGAGCATCGTTTCGCCTGTATTGTGCAAGCCTCCCTCCTTTGATGAGGGTTTCGATGGCGTCCTTCAGGTGGACGCAGTCCTCTGTCAAGTGACCATGACTCCTATGGTACTGACAGTACTTGTTTTTGTCTACTCCTGGCTTGGCAGGAGCTGGCCGGGGACGCTTGACGCCACCGTCTTTAAAATCTGTGCTAGCACACTCCGCCAGAATACGCTCGCGGGAAGCCGTGAGCGGAGTGTACTCGGTGAAACGGCCCGAGGGGCCCCTTTGTTCCCGGACCTCCCGGGGTCGGTCTTCCTTCCTTTTCTCTCCGGTCCGTCGGGGAGGAGGGTCTTGTCTCGAGCTGCTGCCATGATTGCGAGCCCTGGAGTCTCGTGCCCTGTTGGCAGCTTCTCTCTCCTCGTAGTCCATGTATGCTCGGGCTTTGTCGAGGAGAGCATCAAAAGTTGCAGGTGGCTCAATGCCCACAGCTTTTCTGAATTCTGTGCCGGGGAGGAGGCCCCTCTCCAGCAAGTACCTTTTCATATGGTCCGCGCAGGGGACCTGTATTGCTTCCCGGTTGAAGCGGTTGATGAATTCTCTCAAGGTCTCATCATGTCTTTGGATGATGGCCTCGAGGGCTGCCTCGGTCTTCGGGTGGCGCCGAGAAGCGGTGAAGGAACTGATGAACTGGTTCTTCAGGTTCCGCCACGATGTAATTGAGCCCGGGGCGAGCCCTTTATACCAGTCCATGGCCGCCTTCCTGAGAGTTGTGGGGAAGAGACGGCACTTGATGGGCCCCCCGACATTGTGATAGTGGAGCATGGCTTCGAACCCGTCAATGTGGTCGACTGGGTCTGCTACTCCATCATATTCCTTCAGATGTGGGGGCTTCTCCATGCCCGGGGGAATAGGTGCGTCCATGATGGCCTGCGACAGGGGACCGCGGGGGTCGTCCTCGTCGCTCCTTTCTGGGGAAAGAGAAGGGGTCCTGTAGTTATGCCGGGCACGATGGTCGTGCTGAGATTCCCTCGAGCGTGATGCTCGGTGGTTGAAGGTCACACGCCTGTCTCTGTTGTGCCTCCTGTCGTGCCTTGATGGGTCGCGACTGGGTTCTTCGGTAGGGATGACGGGATGTCTTTCATATTGGGGCCGCCTCTGCCTTGGTGGGGGAGAGGGGCTCCTAGAGTTCTCCCTGTAATGTCTCCGCGGGGGAGTAGGGTGTCGAACTTCTTCGACCCGAGGAGGTGGAGATGGTGGCTTCTGATGCCTCCTCGGTGGTCGTCGATCATTTTCAAGTGCCCTTAGCCTTTCTCCTTGGGCAAATAGGAGATAATTTATTTGGTTGATGGCCGCGAACAGTGCCTGAGTCGTGGCATCTGCCCCGGCAGGGACTTGGACTTCATAGAACCGGGCAGCTCGACGATAGGCGAGAGCTTCCGGGTCGTCTTCGAGTGCTGGAGGGGTCGTCGAGGAAGACGCAGTGTTCCCGTCCCTGCGGGTGGAAGGTCCAGGGGCGGTTGTCGCAGGGGTGGCATTGCGGCCGGGATCACCGAGATTGTCGAGGTGTCCATTCTTGTCCGCGGGACCGTTGTTGGTGTCGGTGACGCGGGTGTGCTGTTCTTCACGAGCTGGATCAGCCATGACAGGTAATTGAATTGAGCTTTGGTCTTTGGAATTGTTCGTTAGACGGGGAAGCTGTTTCCCACAGACGGCGCCACTGATCTGACCTGATCAGAAGGTTTGGACCGTCACGGCTTGCTCCGAGCTGAAAGCTTTTTGAACGAGGAGGGGGGGTACCTGCAAGGCACTCCGATGCTAAAGTCAGTGGGAGTACGAGCAGATAATAGAGTTGAGGTTAGAATGATGAATACCTGACTCTCTGGAAACAGAGGGTATTTATAGCCCCCAGCGCTGGGCCAAGGTTCCTTCGTTGGGCTGGGCGGATTTGGCCCAATGGAGGAACTGCCAGGTTCTACGTGGGTAGTGGGGACCCGCACGTGGTCCCCTTCCTGGATGTGCTGCGTGAAGTGCGGGCGGACAGAGACGCGGTCTTTCCGGAGTATCGTTGGGGGAACGGTGGACTGAGTCTGCCCTAGCCGGGTAGCTCGGGCCCATGTCGAGCTGGGCAGCACGGTGCTTAGCTCGACGCCAGGACCTCGAGCTGGACGGCGGGTGTCGAACTGGGCGCCAGGACATGGAGCTGACGGCAGGGTGTCGAGCACGACTTCACCGCATGGGTTGGACATCGGGATGTCGAGGTGGACGTCAGGGTGTCGGGCATGGACGTGACCCCCTTTGCCCAGTGTGGTCCTTAGTGAGTCCCTTTGGACTGGGCCTTAGTAATGCTTTTGGGCCTGTCGGGCCCAGTCCAGAACATTATCTATGAATAAAGTTGTCAAAAATGCTGAGTTAATGTATATATCTCCAAAGTTGAGGGATTCACATAGTAAATTTCTTCTATTTTGATCATGCACGAGTATCACAAAACTACTATTTTAGAGTAAGGATGTGTGAATCAATTCATATACTGAAGGAAGCAAAGCAATTGGATTTGTTAAAGACTTGAGGGACAGTTGATGATATTCTGATTGATGGAAATTCTTTCTTTAGAGACCTTCAATTGAGGGTGACTTCTTTACCAATTAGGATTAGGGATTAGGCTTGTACTCGACGATATAAATTGTCTTGTAAGCTTTTATAACTTTCAAGTATATTAACAGACGATAAATATATGATATGTACTCTGATTTTAATAAAGTTTTTGAATGGCTTTTATAGTATAATTTTAACTTTTTACCTTAGTAGTAGTACTCACCTTTAATATCTAACATGCTTTGGCGAGTATCCTTTTTTATAAAAGTATTCAGAACATAAAAGTATTTAGAACATAAAAGTAATAACATGACCATAAAATAAAAAATATTTTTTATATTTGCATGCAGTATGATGTTTAAGATTTTCTTCTAACCTTTTTTATTGATGAATTAGACCACCATATGTCATAAATAGAATATCGTATTATCCTCATGTATCATTTCATGAATCTAAAAATCGTATATCCTCGTGTATCATCTCATGAATCTATTATTTCTATTGATGAAAGTTGTCGTGTTTGTCATACGGCATTCTTAGATACCTTAGTGGAACACACAACTATGAAGAAAATGCATTTGTTAACTTTCTGATTGATAAACAAGAGAGAAAATCAACACTTGGAACAAGAAATGGTCTGATAGAAGAAAACCATGCATGTGAGAACTTGACTAAAATTTCTCACATTTAGAATTAAGAATCAAAGGTTTTCCTATAAGACCGATAATTTTTAAAATCACTTTAAACAAAGTGGACAAAACAGACGTGTCTTTAAACAAATAATAGACAACAATAATGTATCTCTTATGTACATAAATATGGTTTTTAAGAGAATTGATTTATACTAAGATATGAAGATTATTAGTTAAAAACAAATGCAATATTTTTGTTATATTAAGTTAACATTTGACATGCTAAAAATATGAGAGAACCTATGTCGAGAAATCATGAGTCAAAGTTTCAAAGATACACAGTTTGTCATAAAAAAGATACCCTGTTTGTTTCCCAAACGATATTTACATGTTTTACCAAATAGAATGAAATGGTTTTGGAATAACAATGGCAATTTACTACTATTCTGTATGCAAGTTTTTTCTTCACATATTTACATAATAACAAGTTTATCTCCTGACTAATTTTCCTTGGTTGACCATAGAGATTCAGATAGGTGTTTTATGAATAGCCAAATACCAAAGAAGTTCTAAAATGTTTATGAAGAAAAGCAAAAAACAAAATAAAATTCAGAATTAAGATACACAAGAAATCTTGCAACTCCCTCAACAAACCAAAATGGCAAAACGTGCCCAAAACTCTTTTTATGTTGTGCAAGAAACTAGATAGATCAAATCAATCAAATCAAATCAAAGCAAATATTTATTTTTCTTAAATAATTTTTCTGCTACATATCAATACAACACATATTTAACAAAGCCTATTGTTTCCTACCCTCTTGGCACTCCTACGACGAGGTATCTGGAGTGTTCATGAGGCTAAAATATTACAATTATTACCAGAAAGACCTTATTGACTAAGAGGAAAAAACTTATGTTTGGGTGGAAACTTATACAACCATGTATCCTACAATTGCATCCATTTTCACAGCTTGCAAGAAACTTTATTTATATTCACTCACCATAGTGTAAGAAACTTGAGGATATGCATGTAAATTATGTAACAAAGGAAGTCTAAAGGTCCACGCACAAGTAGGAAATGACAGAACCTGCCCGGCGCTCGGTCCGCTGGCTAACCTTCCACTTCTCGACAAGAACCTTTTTTATGTTGGGACAACTAGAAACCACTGTGGCCACTCCGGCTGAAGTTATGCTAGAGCAATAAACCATGTGGCATGACTCTAGTAGGGTGCAGCTTTTGACAAGATGCGCTAAACCAACGTCTGTTATTTGACGGCAGTGAGATATTACTATTTCTTTAAGTAGTGGACAATTTTCTCCCAACTCGGCCATAGCCATATCGCCCAAAGTCTGCAGTTGTATTGAGCAATGCAATGAAAAGAAAAGCATATAACTATAACAGAATCGAGAAAGCACGTGATATATTCCTTAAAATGTGCAAATAATAAAGGATGGTAACTAAAGAAACTATGTCAATTTGGGTATAAAGGAGGGACTTGAATACGCACCTGGAGTACACTCACGTCAAGATAACAGAGTTGAGGGGAACCCCTTGCAACGGCTATCAGTCCAGCATCTCCAATTTGGTGGCAGCCACTTACATTCAGATAATGAAGGGAACAGCCCTCGGCTATAGCAATAAGGGCTCCATCCCCCACCCTAGCAATTTAACAAAGCAGTTAAGGTTGATAATGATGACGATGATGATAGGAATGTTCAGAACACACTCTTTTTGACGCAAACTTGAACAAACTTATTATGAGTAGTTCATTTCCTATAAAGTCGACACATTTTCTAAAAAGTAAATAATTTATGATGGAATTAGAATGAGTTTGAGAAAAATGAATGAACCAGCCATAAAAATATTTCAAGAGTACGTTGCAAAAGTTTCTCTAGTAATAACAGTGTCATAATAGAAGACATGTAACTGAAAAGATTCCATTGAATAGGAAGAATAAAAAAAATGTGAATACGGTCTTACCTATCACAGAATCGAATGCTAAGATCAGTTAGAAACTTGCAATTCTCACCAACAGCAATGATCCCCTTATTGCCAATCTAATATAGGAGAAAGAAAGCAGGAAATATCAGGACAAAGAGCCAAAAATGCATAAACAACTTAATCTTAAATAAAACTTACTTGGTCGAATAATAAAAAATTGGTTTAATGCTTAATTGAATATACGATGAACATTTATTTTAAGTAAGGAGAAACGAGAATGCATAAGGGAATTCATGTATTTTACACACGGGAGCTATAGTGGATCACTCACTATCCTGAAACAAACACTTTTTCCCGTATTCCTTAGTTACACTTCAGATGAAAAAACAGCACTATACTCTTTGAAATGTGAATAATTCAATCATGTCATAGTGTAAAGAAGGGGGTGTCAGAAACCCAATAATTGGATTCCAAATGAAGAACACTCTTTATTAAAAAAATGATAGAATAGGAGAGAAGCTCTCCTCCAAGGGTTTCCCCTTCACAACAGAGAATACTCTATTAACAATATTCAAATAACTAACCCTTGTGCTCTCTTATTTATACACATACTTTGTAACTAATCCAAATAACTAACTAACTAACTTCTCTAACAACTCAAAATTACAACCCAAATAGCTAATTAACTTCTCTAACACCTAATAACTACTTTAACTAATCTGATTAGCCATAACAATACACACCTCCTTAAAACAACCTTGTCCTCAAGGTTGACATCTACCATATTCTTCTTGTTCCATTTGTTGTAGAAAACAAAAGTTTGCCATCCTGGATCCCATAGTTTGGAGCTTGGTGAACCAATTTCATCTTCGGCCACTTTGTATTCCACTGTTCAGCATATAGCAGCCAACCTACTCCTGTTGTCAACCAAGAGCATTCTTCCCCAAACTCCATAGGTGCAAGTTCATGACAAAACCACTTGTTAATAATCCATATCCCTTGTGTTGAAGATAAACAAAACTCTAGCCCTCCTGGTTCCCACCGCTGGGAGCTTGTGAAACACATTTGTGCTTCAACCCACTTCATTTTACATTGTTTTTCACTTTCCTTCCATAGCAATCAAATCTGTCTTGCCCTCTCCAGAGTATTCCCAAGCAGTCCCGTCCATTGAGACACGGTGCTCTGTTTTGTGAGGTCATTAATCCCACTGTTGAGATGCATTTGAGCTGAAAATGAATGGAAAACCCACAGACTAGCTGTTTGGGCCTGGCCCAATAGGTTTGGAATGGATGAACAACTTTTAACTTGAATCTGCACAGCTACCACGATTGACTCTCGATCTAGTGGTTTTGCCAGTGGTCCAAGACTGATCAGAGCATCGGAATCCAAATTATTTTGGCCATTGTGGTGTATTTCCCCCATTCTTGATTGTGCTGTATACAACTCTTTTTCCTTCTTAACGTTTACATCGGCACCAGGACACAGTTTGAACTGCTATGGTTTTAGTCTTCATAATGAACTTTTTAAGAGCCACCAATACAGTCAACTATTGAGTTCTTCCTGCATTTCCACCTTCACATTTCAAATCTACCTATCTACCTTCTGTTCATCCATTTGTTCTGCCACTTCGAAACATTCTTTTTGTTTCTTTCCACTAACAATCTAATGTTAACTTTGTCTCTTACCTTAGTGACACCCACCCCAATTAGGGGTGTTCAAGAAATCCAAAGAACAAAACTGAACCGGAGAACCGAACCAGGCTAGTTTTAGACTGAACCATTTGTAACATTGGGAACCAAACCATGTTTACAAAAAGATTTGTGAACCGGACCATTCATTAGAAACTAGAAGTGAATGAATCATTCATTAGAAACTAGAAGTGAATGAATCATTCATTAGAAACTAGAAGTGAACTGTAACATAACTGAAATAAAACAAATTCTAATAACATAAAATCAGATCGGCAAAACCAAACGAAATCAAACAAATCCTAAAATAAGAAAACCCAAAAATCACTAATCAAATAACCCTAAAACCCAAATTAGGAATTAACAAAAATTAGAGGGTAATAACTGAAACTCTGTTGACAACTTCTGTCTCAATTGTTTCCGTTGAGCGTAGCAGCGCCGCCCGCTGTTCAAAAATATCCACCGCACAGCAGCGTCAACGTGCATAGCATCTGCATGACGTAGTAACACCATCGCATGTAACATTTGCATACCGTAGCATTGACGACATGAGTAGAAACTATGTCGCAATTAGCATATCTCCGCCGTAAATGGAATAACCGCCGCAAAAAACCTCATCAACCTCCCAATTTGATTTTTTGCAAACAAGGTCCGATGCATACACTTGATTTTTGTTTTCATAACTTTTATGGATTTTGTTGCTTTGTACTTCGATACTTGCCTAGTTGCCTTCGATCCTCTCTTTATATTTCCAATTTTCACGTATGTTTCCGATCTATCAGGTTGAGGAACTTTTGTTTTTGAACATAAATGATCTCCTTCTGAATTTATCTACTATGTATTTGTGTGTATAAACCTATTTTAATTGATATATAGAATACATAAAATAATTTGCATTTTTTGGATAATGGTTCCATTATTTCTTGGTTTGGTACAGTTCGAAAATAGAGAACCGGTTCACATAAGTATGACAGTTTGGTTTGGTGTGGTTGGAACTAACAATTAACGATTTGGTTCAGTTATTGGGAATTGGACAAAAGTTCAGTTTGGTTCGGTTCAGTTCTCTCCGAACCAAACCATGAACAGCCCTAACCCCATTGGACACATCAATCACCTTTCTTTCCCAAAAGCAAGATTCTTGGTGGCTGTCTCCTTCAAAAATATTTTTCGGTTGATGTGACAAGATCTTCTTTGGAGAAGGTTGTGCCTCCAAACTTGTTGGACACACCATGTAGCATGTTTACCCCTAGAGTCGTCAACCTTTTAGATATGCCAACCCCTTTGATACTCTTCTTGACCACAGGGGTTGCAGCCTCCGCTCTTTCTTGGCTCTTCCTCTCTTCTTGTTTTACCATTTCACCCGCCAATCTTTTAGATATGCCAAACCCTTTAACACTCCTCTTGATCAGACCTGTAGAAAAAGATTCCCAGGTTGGATCTGGATTTTCTTGATGTTAAGAACAAAACCGCAATAATGTCCAAGCATCCAGCTCATGAATGCCCACTGCACTTTATCAAACCCATGAACTTCCTGCTCCTCAAAAGTCTTTTCAGTCAGTGCAATCCACCCAATGGGATATATCCCCGTAAAATTTGTGCCGCCTCCGTGTCCAAGAACATTGGCACTTCTCGAAGATCCGGCAGATCGGACCAATAGTTATGAACCCAATAACTGGATTCGAAATAAAGAACACTCTTTATTAAAAAAATATGATAGAATAGGAGATAATCTCTCCTCCAAGGGTTTCCCCTTCACAATAGAGAATACTCTATTCACAATTACAATATTCAAATATATTCTCTAAACCTTGTGCTCTCCTATTTAAACACATACTCTCTAACTAATCCAAATAACTAACTAACCAACTTCTCTAACAACTCATAATTACAACCCAAATAACCCGCTAACTTCTCTAACACCTGATAAATGCTTTAACTAACCTGATTAGCCATAACTCTATATCCTAACAATAACGCATAGCATGAGCCTAGTGACATCATAGGACTAGTCGAGCAGTTAACTTGCTATTGGCCAACCATATACTATACTATCAAAGTGCATTACAGCGTGAGAATCCAATTGAGATTGTTGAACCAGTCAAAAATCGAGACTATACGGTGATTCAATCTAAATCGGAAATTTGACTCTCTTGTCCGGGAGAGAAAGAGATGGCTATTTATCTTCAGTCACATTTCTTGGAGAAAGGGGGGCTTTGGACTAATTTGTGTTTCGGTTCAGCCTAAGTAAAGTCTAGCAACAAATTGTTACAACAGCGGAGATTGAACTAGGATACCAATCAATCCCATCCCTTTAGATGGAGTTCATTACCCATTTGCGTTCAACATTGTGGTTAAAGAGATAGCTATTTGGGATGTCTTTAGTATAATATTTTGACAAAAAATGCATTTTAAATGATATTATAGTTATGACAGATTGAGAATTAACTAAATTTTGAAAAAAAGAGCAGCATTTGAAATTTTTTCCTGAAAATAAATTTGCAAGCATAGGTTTTGTTTGGGCTGTATTAAGGTAAAGTAATATCTGAATGTGAATCAACAAATTACATGAAATATTTAAGGCCAAATTAGTAGAATCCTGTGAAATGTGTGCCAGTCTTAATTCTTGCCAAAATGAATAATACCACTATTCTAGTTTTATAAGGTCCACCCAAAAAATGTTAGGAAGCAAATCTAAAACCCTAACAAACTAAAGAAAGCTAAGAAGTAAAAGATAACTAAGAAAATAAATTTCATTGATTGATTCCAAATGTCTTATGAGACTAGATTATATAATACTCTTAATGGATAATAAACCTAAAAGCCCAACAACTATTAAAAGTCCAAATACAACTAGAATCCAATAACAATACTAATAACTAATATTATAAATACTATTATACCCCTCTATCATTGTCGGGTTCACTTGAACCTTGTCCTCAAGGTTCTAAAATTACTCCTGGATCCCATTGCTTAAACTGGACAATCATAACAGGAAATTTATTGAGACACTGGTGGAAGTGTTATTGTATGAGGTCCAATTCCATGGCAGCATTTATGTCAAAATGTATGAGTAAAAAAATTAGCAGCTTGAACAGCAACACCATAAGCAGCAGCTTAATGTATGGGATTCAGGAATAATTTTAGAACCTTGAGGACAAGGTTCAAGTGAACCCGGCGGCAATGATAGAGGGAGTATAATAGTATATATAATATTAGTTATTAGTATTGTTACTGGACTCTAGTTGTATTTGGGCTTTTAATAGTTGTTTTTAGGTTTATTATCCATTAAGAGTATTATATAATGTAGTCTCATAGAGACATTTGGAATCAATCAAATGAAATCAAAGTAATCTTTTATCTCTATTTTCTTAGTTTGTTTTTAATGTCTTTCTAGATTTATAGTTGTTTTCTTAGTTTGTTAGGGTTCTTGAATTAGCTTCCTAACAAAAAACACGTTCAAAGCCAAAAATGAAGCTACACATACCGAATGGAATTTTCATATAGAAAATCAAACATGAACACAAATGGAGTACCTCATAACAGCGTCGGATATGAAGCTTCTTTAAATTTGTGCAGCCACTAGCTATACCACACATGGCTTCATCTCCAATGCTTGAGCAATCTACCAAGTGAAGAGCTTGCAAGAATTGACATCCCTTTCCAACCTGAAGAAGCCCAAGATCACCAATTCTTTGGCAGTAAAGCAATGCTAATTCTGAGAGATGTCTGCATAATAAAGAGCTTAGATTAGCATCATTGATGGAAAATTTGAACATTTCATAACTTGTGTCATCGACTATTATGTCAATACCACAAGCTAATACAAATATAGAACCACAAAACATACTGGCATGATTTCCCAACAGATTCAAGTCCCAAGGTTCCAATGTTGTGACATCCATTGACTTCGAGATGAGTGAGTTCCTTGCACCCAATAGCAATTGCTTCCAAGCCCTTGTCACTTAGGAAATAGCAATCACTCAAAGTCAAATTCTTTAACTTCTTGCATCCTTTCCCAATAGCACGCAAACCCCTGAATGGAACATTAATAAAAGGAAGAATATTACTTACTAAACCGCAAAAAAAAATAATGAATGTAAATTAATAATATGCTTATATACAACCCAAAGACTGCAGTTCTCCCCCACTCCCCTGAAGGTCATACAAAATGAAAATTTAAAATAAATAAAGCAGCCAACTAGGTAGGTGTTGCTAGATGGATCAGAAGAAGTCATTGGGCAATATCAAAAACACTATTTTAAAAATTAATCAGAGAAAAGGGGTTGTTAAAACAGCCATTTTAAATTGATTGATCCTTAAAATGGTTGATCAAGTCATAACACATTACGATGATTTGCAAGTTGTCCTAAGTTCAATATATCTTATCTTACAACATATCATAAGAAACAAAGACAAGCATTGTTTGTAATTTTGTGCAAAGTGAACAACCATAATCAAATGAAAATCCTCAAAAAGCAAAGCAATCATGAGAAAACAGCTCACTTATCAGTAAATCGCTGAAAACTATATAGAGCCAATAACTCCAGAGACAAACAACTAACGCCTACAGCTTTCAAAGCATCGTCTGTAAGATTAATACACTGCAGCTTTAGAGATTTCAAATATGGACATCCTTGAGCCACAGCAAGCACCCCTTGATTGTGGATGAACTCAGAATCCAAAGAAAGGGTCTCAAGGGATCCACAGTGTGATGCTACAGCTTCCATTGAGATGTCAGTTATTTTGGCACAAGCCGCTACACCGAGAGATTTTAATGATTTCCCCACACCTAGAGCTAATTCAACCAAACCCTTATCAGTCAAGCCTTCACAGAAACGCAGATTCAAATCTTCAAGTTGCTTGCAACACTGTCCAACTGCAGCCAAGCCTTGATCTCCAACATAACAACCCTAGAGGAAAATCTCAATAGTTATACCAATAAACATGCATCATTCATATACCATTTATCTTCTAAAATCCTATATATTGATAGAGTAGCAATTCAAATGAAACATTGATCAAGAAAATGAATTGGGCCTCAGCGTCTCAATATTATAATGCTTCAGGAACACGAACTCTTGCCCTCTTAGACTTGCGTTTTGCTGGGATTAGCTTATTAGACTCAAACTACCGACATAAGCCTTCCTAAGAACTTTTCAAACAACTTCTGACATATTCATAAATTATTTTATCTTTTGTTATAAATATAGCTTATTAATAACCACCTAACTGAGTAATTTATCTAAATAGGCCTTAAGACACTATAGAACTGTTTTATCCTATAAGAGATGATAACTTTCCTATAAAAACAGAAAATTTCTTCATTAGTCCTATAGCAAAAAAGTCAAAACCTGCAAGTCCAAGGCTTTCAAATTCGCGCATTTCCACGCAAGTGATGATAATCCATGACTGGTAACATTAGAACACCAAATTAACCTCAACTTCGCAAGCTTAGGAAACCCATCAGCAAGAGCAGATAATCCAGTATCAGACAAACACAACGAATCAAAATCACTATCCTCAGAGGAAGATCCATTCCTGTTATTAACATAATGAAGCTTCAATGCCGAAGCCGGCGAATTTTCTCCGGTGACACGTCTTCTCCCCTGCACAAAACAAAAACCAATCAAACAAACAAAAAAAAAGTTACCAATGAATTGCCGAATTTGGTAACTGTACCGACCAATTGAACGGGGAGTGAAATAGATAGCCGTTCATCGATGTGAACGGCGGTGACGTTGGAGAACCGGGAAGCGAGGAGCTGAACGAAAAGGTCCGGCGAGCCGGTTGCGCCGATACGGATGGAGGACCGAGTGAACCGTTCGAGGCGGAGCCAGCGGTTGCAGACGAGGGAGCATGAGTCGCGGCTTGATTTGGAGTCGATGCGGCGGAAGATCTCGACGATTAACTCGTCGGGGAGACACGTATTGATCCAATCGTGACCTTTCATGGAACAAGACAAAGAACGTTAACAAAAAACTATGAATTCGATTTTTGAGGTTGTTCAAAAACAAGGTTAGGTTCGGAAAGTGCTTATACACCAGATCTAGAGAGAGACAATTGCGTACCGTACGGTTTGCTGTGGCTTGTATTGTATAGATTTTTTTTTCACTAAATTAATTGATAGACATGTAGTTTAGTTACTAGTCCTTTAAAAGTATAAAACATGTGGAATATTTCAATTATTTTCGTGTATAAGTGAAAAATGTTTTCCTCATAAATTTGATGATTTTCTTGGAAATAGACTCTCTTCAAGTTGATAAGATGACAAGAATCAACTTTATAAAAAGAATAAAATGAAAACATAAATTATTTAGTATATTATTTATTGAAAAGAATGTTGATAATAAATCAAGAGAATATCCTCTTGAAAGATGACACAAATTACAAGATAATTGTTCCAATGTTGTATCAACTTCCTTATATATCTAGAAAAACAAAAGGAATAAGAAATTCCTATTGACATGTTAATTTCTTTCTCTTACCAACAATCATATCACAACTTATTCACTTTATTTACTTAGACTGTGTTTGGTTTTAATTTTAGAAGTGTTAAAAGTATTTTTAGAGTGCAAAATTGATTCTACATTTATTTTAATATATTTGGTTCTCTTAAAAGAAGAATTGGTTCTGTCTCCGTAATTAATTATACTTGAAGTTAGAATTTATAGTTTTTTCTTTCATAACTGATTATGAGTTATATTTATAGTGAAATTTATTGTTCAACTCACTTTTACATGTATATATTCAAACATAAATCAATTCTATTAAAATTAATTCTATTAAAATTAATTTTACCAAATTCAATTCTACTAGAATCAATTTTGTCCACCACCAATTCAAAGATACACTTACACGAAATGGGATTGGAATAAGAAATTCTTAACTAACTTTAATATTTGACATGTTAATTTCGTTCTCTTTCCAATAATCATATCGCAATTTCTTTCACTTTGTTCACTCTATAAATGGGATTGAATTAAGTGACTTTATTGTTTTAATAATTTTGTGACTTTAGACAAATTAAAAAGGTGATTGAATGATTAAAATCAACTATTTATTAAGAGAGAGAATTTGATTTAGAGATATATTAAAAGAAAATTACAAAAGTCACAAACCCCCAAAAGTTACTCAAATCTAATCCTACACGAAAACATCATTAATTCATAATTTCATCTTCCCTCCTTTCTCCTCTTTCCCATTTCCTATTCATTTCATTTATATTTTCTTAACATTGTTAACATTTTTCCTACTTCTTTCTCGAGGAATATAAATTTTCATCTTCTTCGACCAGTATGTTTACACTTACTTTCTTTTTTACTTTTATTTTAGTTTCTTATAACCTTTTATTAACAATTTTTTTATAATTGATATTTTTTTATTAATATTTTCGTCAACACGGCATACACATGTGAGTTTAAATGTATTTCATTCAATACGAAGGAATCAAAAATAATAAAAAATTGGATAGTAGTAGTCTTGAACGGTGACTCGATCTCTTTTATGGTAATGCGGTTAGACATACATGGTTAGCATTTCAACGCTCAAATTAATGCAAGATTCAAGATGAGTATAGTGAAATTTGAGATCATAGATTGTGTATCTTCTCATAATGTCTGAATTGTTTTTAGAGTTAAATGCATTTTACACCTGTAATAGTAGCGGGTTTTGATTTACCCCTTTTAAAAAAAAAATCTTTTAGCTCCTCAACAAAATAAGATTCCCTCAAATTTGACATTGGATCAAGATTCCAGCAGAATCTGCATATGTGGCGCTTGATCTGGCTTTTTTTATTTAATTTTTAATTATTTTTTTTTAATTTCACGTGGAAATTTGATTTTTTTAATTTTTTTTAATTTTTATTTTCTCCCTCTTGAACAAACTTATTTTTTTGTTTTATTTATCTCATATTAATTTGATACATTAATTTTGTGTGGTACTTAATTTTTTCGGTAGGTATTTAATTTTGTTTTTTTGGACGGTTGAAATTTTACCGACAAACGTTGAATAGTTTGCTCCTTGGTTCTGACAACAGGAGGGTGACAAAGATCGAGTATCAAGAATATTTCATAGGTATGATGGTTAGATAAAACACAATCTGATCAAGTTGAAGCATCGATAATATAATTTTAAACAAACGTTTGACATAATGAACGCTAGAAAAAAAACAACATTAAGGTCAATATAAAAAACAATCTGGTGAAAATCATGAATTACTTTGTCAGCAAAAAAATTGTGATGCACACATTATATAATAAAATATTAAAATTAATTAAAATACACTGTCAATCTAAAACTATTTAATACTGTTATCCAATTAAAATTAATTATTTTGATATATAAAAAGAGAAAAATATGAAAGAAATAGTTATTAAAATAATTTAATTCTAATTGGGTGATAGTGTAAAATTAATTAGTCTCTAAAATATTTAGTCTAAGTTGTTATTACTTGGCCATTATTATTAGATTCTCATAGATATTCTGAATTATTAGTTATTGGAGATAGATAAATATAGTAGCTTATATAAGGACATAATTGTGTGTTTTAAATAGGGCGCATTTAGTTTGGAATATTGTTGTTGTAAGTGGGATTGAGTATCCCTAATACTCCTTTTATATATTATTTGTTTTCATAAAAAAAAACTTCAACAAAATACAATATATTTTAACTACTAATTTATTAGATTTGTATTTTCTACTCACGTATATATTATGTTTTCGATCGTGTATATTATTAGATTCATATTTTCGACCGTTCAAAAAAACAAAATTAAGTACCTACCGAAAAAATTAAGTATCACACAAAATTAATGTATCAAATTAATTTGGAATAAATAAATAAAAAAATTTTAAACATTTTTAAAAAAATTTAAAAATAAAAAATAAAAAAATTTTAAAAATAAAAAATATAAAAAAATTAATAATCGAATTTCCACGTGGAATTTAAAAAATAAACAAATAAAGCCACGTCAAGCGCCACGTATGTAGATTCTGCTGGAATCTTGATCCAATGTCAAATTTGAGGGAATCTTATTTTGTTGAGGGGCTAAAAGAAGGGGAAAAAATTAAAAGGGAGATAAATCAAAACTCATTATTATTGCAGAAGTAAAATACATTTAACCTTTGTGTTTTATATGTTGGGTAGAGTTTAGTAAGCTTTTGATGGATTCGGCTTTGGTCAATTGGGCTTTTTGATCGGTCCAGAACAGTTGCCTCCAAAGTTTTGTCAGACAATAGAGGAGCTGGGGAAAGCCTTAGGTATCATTGATCAGCCTCTATGTTGTAGTTCCATGTGAGACATAATTGAATTGTTTAGGGTCAATTTTGAAAAGTAATGGAGAGCAGGCGTATTTGATATATATTCATCACTGAGACATTTCATCACCCATTATTAACATGTGTGATGATGTGGTCAGCTAGGGTGCAGCGCGGTTGATAGAGTGCTTAAGTGACTTGAGTTTGGCGTGTTTTTCTAAGTGAAATTCTAGTCGATGATCTTGTGATCTATGTTCATATTTTATATTGATCCTTCAATTATCATTGCTTATAAATAAAGCGACATTACTACAAAAACGCATCTAATGTCGGATGCAAAACGCATTTGACCTCAGCGGCGGAAGCGAGGTAATGAAAGATGACGTGAAAAACTACCACTTAACACCTCGATTATTAAAATATCAAGGGGTAAAGTTATCTTCACGTGGGTTCGATCCCTAGCATCAACATTTTTATTATTTTCATAATTGGATGATGCACCCAATATAAACACTCGGTGTTTTGTATAACTGAGGTGATATCTCAATGTTATTACCCCTGTTTAATCTAAAAATAGAGAGAATACATTTTTTGTATTGTCGTTTGCATATGTATTACAGAAGCATATTCCAGAATATAGAATCATATTTTGCATATTCATGAAACAAAGAGATTGTATATTTTGTCAATTTCTTAATATGAAACATTGTACCACAAATATTCACTTATTACACTAAATGCAAACTCAAAATTACATCAAAACTAAAATAAATGATTAAGAAACAAAAGCAATAAACCATTTACTTACTAGTTTTTCCATATCCCTTGTTCATGATCACGGCGAATAGCATGCACATCATCTGAATTATTTTCTTCATATGATTGGCGTATATGTGTTTCTAAACAAGGTGTCTCATAGTTAAAATCTTGATTTTCATCAATACTATTGGGAAGATGTTCTCCTTGAAGACTTGTTGACCATCTAGTGTTAGAAGAATTAAGGACATAAAAAAATTGTTTTGCTTGGATTGCCATGATGAATGATTCGTTCTTATAAGTTGCCTTTCGAATATCAACCTATGTGAATCCTAATTCATTGGTTTCTACACCAATGTTAATGTCAATCAATTAGAACTTAAATAAAGGCATTTTAGAAGAAACATAGTCAATCTCCAAAACCTTTTCAATGACTCCACAATACGCTCTAGATGCTAGTACATGATTGTTATCTTTGGAAGTAGAAAAGTACATGGATTCAGACTCAACCATAACCCCATTATTTTGCATGGTGCTACGATCATCCTTTGATTTTGTATAGAATGAATATTTACTAGTGTCGTATGTACTCCAAGTAATTACATTAAACTTAGGCTTACATGGCAACTATTTGCAAGTATCTGATGCACCACTCTCTTTAGAAATACTTTCACTAAACCAATTTATGAAAGTTTTTTTATGCTATGTCAATAACCATTTTTCATTCATCAGGAGAAATTTTCCTTTATAAGACTTTTGTGAGCGGTCAAGTAAGGCTCAATTTGACTAATGTTATTCAATATATATATATATATATATATATATATATATATATATATATATATATATATATATATATATATATATATATATATATCTGTGTGTGTGTGTGTGTGTGTGTGCGCTTGAAGAACTACTTCTCAATTAAATGTCTTGACA